TTCTGCAATAGGCAGAATTTTTTTCAGTTTTCTGATTCGTATAACTATTTTATAACTTAGAATTCTTTTGTGAGCACATGCTAAAGTTTTCACGCTTTCACCTGAAGCATCGATATGCAATGTAAAATTCGAATCTTTAAGGATTTCAATATTGGATGATATTGTGTCAAACGTATATCTTTCCCATGTATAAACTGTAAAGGGAGAAGCAAGTCTATGAATATAATTCTTATAGGGGCCCATTTGCATCAAATAAAGAGCAACAAATGGATCTCTATCATAATATTTCGCCATATTGGCCTCAGATTTTAATTTTCTAAAAGTTTCTAAATTTTGGATATTTTGAAAATTGCCTTTTTCCGCAATATCGTCTGAAGCTACCAATATTTGTTTTTGTTTAAACAAATATGGCACATCTTCTTTTATTTTACTTTTAAATACATGTCTTTTTACACCTCTCATTTGACCAACGTGAATTTCATCTTCTGCATGATGTAACTCATTTGTTCTATAAACGGTTACATTTCCTTGAGGAGTTACGTCAAATCGAAAGGTAGTGCAATCGTTAAATTTACAATATGCATATATTAATGTTTTTTCAAAACAAAACTTTATGTTGTAGAAACATAAAATACAAACATTATTATACTTTAAATATTCTTCTCTTATCAAATCTTCGAGGAAGCTTTTTTTTCGTAATTTTATCCATATACTCATTATTTACAGTTTTTAAACTAACAAGAAAAGAACAATCGAAAATATTATTCTTAAATAGTCGTTTAGGTTTTGTACTTTTTGATTTTGTACGTATTACATTTCTATTGCATTTTTCTTTTGGATTAGGACTTTTTCTATATTTTAAAAAATCTGAATTATTTGTGGAATCTCCTGTTATTTCAAATGGTCCAAGGGTTACATCCCTTCTATTATTTTTACACTGTTTTTTTATGGAACAATCCTGCTCTTTATAACACTGTACAGTTCCTACAGAAATTTCTTCCTTATGCAGTTTTTTTTCAGATTGAAGCTCATTTAAAATTTCTTTTAAATAAGCTTTAATTTCTTTTAGGTTGGATTCATTACTAGAGGAAAATTCATTCAAAATTATAATTTTTTCCATCGAATTTTTTAAATCGCAAGCTATTAAACTAAATTCTTGAACGAAACCTTCACACAATTTTTTAAATGAATCATGTGGGACTTCATTAAGATTTTTATTTAATTTAGCGTCTAAAATGGTATTCAACATTAATTCCAACTCTGTTTTATTAGATGTATTTTTGAAATCAACAACATTTTCAATTTCATTTACAACATCATTGTGGGAAACAAAATCCTCAACACTAATAATTCTATTAACCGAAGAATGACTGTTGATATTTTTTGTTTCATTTAAATTTGTATTTGCTGTTTCTAAACTTTCAGAGTCAGACAGCAAAGCAGATATATAATTTTGCTCCATTTGAAAACTTTCCAATTCTAAGTAATTTATACTTTCCAAAAGCTTTTTTTCATCATTTTCTAAATACGAACTTTCTATATTTTCTGATATTAAATCAGTAGCAACCGCATTTCTACTTTCTATACTGTTACCTTCAGAATGTAAATTTTTTATATTTTCTGACATTCTAACATCAGTTACCTCATTTCTACTTTTTAAAATACGTTTGGCAATAGTAGATATGCGTTTAAAAAGTTTTGCACTTTTTGGAATTTTGTTACATTTACTTCTTTTTTTATTCAAAGAATCTATAACATTTCGAAAGAACTTTTCATTTTGTTTTGAATAACTACTCAAATTTTCCAAACATGAAAAGTCTTTAATAACATTAAATATATCTAAATAACTTATTCTAAAATTCATTATTCCCTAAAAGAAAAAAAAACAAAAATAAAAAAGACAGCAATATATTAATTATTAATTTATTTATTTATTTTGAAAAACTTAGCATAATACTTAAAAATAAAAAACTTTTTTACATAATTAAATGAATTATAATAAATCACACATGATTGATAATCACATTATTGATCTTCGTTTTGTCGTAAATGACCATGACATTCATCATGGATTTTTAATTCACCATATTTAATGGATTTATTTAATATACACCACGTTTTTGTGGATTTTTCATATTAATAATAATATATAAAAATAAATATAAAAATAAACATACATTAAATCTGGAGGCACATCAAAATTCCCTGCAAAGAAAAAATAACGTATATAATATTTAATGATTAAAAGGTTTAAAAAATAGTCGTTAAAAAAGTCTTACAAGTTGTAAAAGCAGTAAATATTGTTAAAAATAGTAAAATTTAAAAATCAATAAAATTTATATAAATTTGGAAAAATATGTCCGACTTTTTGATTTTTTAGATTGTTCTACGTTTTTTAATATTTTTACTTTTTTCAACTTTTTTCGATTTTTCGACGTTTTTAGATTCTTCGTTTTAAATTTTTATACTTTTTTCAACTTCTAAGATTTTTCGACTTTTTTTGATTTTTTGACTTTTTTCAATTCTTCCGATATTTAGACTTCTTCGACGTTTTTGCGATTTTTCTAAGTTTTTAGATTTTTCGACTATTTTGAACTGTTTTTGATTTTTCGAAGTTTTTTGACATTATATCAACTTTATTAATTTTTTTTTTCGATTTTTCCGAATTTTTTTTTTTTCGATTTTTAGACATTTTCGACGTTTTGCGATTTTTTTTTTTTACTTTTTCGATTTTTCTACGTTTATCAACTTTTTTTCGATTTTTAAACTTTTTCGACGTTTTTAGATTTTTCAACTTTTTTCAACATTCGACGTTTTCCGATTTTTAGACTTTTTAGACGTTTACGATTTTTCGACTTTTCCGACTTTTTGACAACGAAAGATTCGTACAATGTACGAAATTTTTCGCATATATTCGGCATGAATTATTTTCAGTGCATAAAAAAACAAAAGTACCAAAATTAGGCCAACAACAATGTCCTTTTTTTATAACTTATATATTTAATTGATATACGTCTAATACAAAAAATATAACGTGACAATGCATGACGTAACATATATAGTACATAGAAAAATTTGAAAAATAACTATCAACAGATATTAAATTAAAGTCATGTACCATATATGGTACGCTATGCATTTAAGGGTTAAATTCATGTTTCTAGGTTTAATATTATTAAAAAAAGTACAAAAGAGTTGCCTTTAATAGGTCCTCTACATTCTTAATTTATGTTTCTGGGTTTAATATTATAGAACGAAAAAATACTAAAATGTTTATAGGTTCTTATTTACTCCGGGATCTACATACTTATATACATGTTTCTAGGTTCAATATTATTAAAAAATCGAAAAGTACCACTTAATGAATGGAAAAGTGCTTAATTTTATGTTTCTAGATTCAATATTATAGAAATCTCAAAAAGTACCAGTTAAAGAACTAAAAAATACCAAAATGTCCCCTATATAGGTTCTTATTAAAGGCCTGAACAAGACAACACCAATTTGTTAAACAAATTTCGTGTTTTTTTACAAATTGTCGCCTTATTGTTGTCTTGTGCAGGCATTTAGTTCTTATTTACTCCGGGTTCTACATACTTAATGTTTCTAGGTTTATTATTAAAAAAAATCAAAAAGTACCAGTTAATGAACCAAAAATTACCAAAAAGTGGCCTTTAAATAGCTTCTTTACATTCTTCATTTATGTTCTAGATTTAATATTATTAAAAAAATCCAAAAGTACCAGTTAATGAACCAAAAATTACCAAAAAGTGGCCTTTAATAGCTTCTTTACATGCTTCATTTATGTTTCTAGGTTTAATATTATTAAAAAAATCAAAAGTACAGTTAATGAACCAAAAAGTACCAAAAAAGTGGCCTTAATAGCGTTCTTTACATGCTTCATTTATGTTTCTAGGTTAATATTATTAAAAAAATCAAAAGTACCAGTAATGAACCAAAAATTACCAAAAAGTGGCCTTTAATAGCTTCTTTACATGCTTCATTTATGTTTCTAGGTTTAATATTATTAAAAAAATCAAAAAGTACCAGTCAATGAACCAAAAATTACCAAAAAGTGGCCTTTAATATCATCTATACATGCTTCATTTATGTTTCTAGGTTTAATATTATTAAAAAAATCAAAAAGTACCAGTTAATGAACCAAAAATTACCAAAAAGTGGCCTTTAATAGCTTCTTTACATGCTTCATTTATGTTTCTAGGTTTAATATTATTAAAAAAATCAAAAAGTACCAGTCAATGAACCAAAAATTACCAAAAAGTGGCCTTTAATATCATCTATACATGCTTCATTATGTTTCTAGGTTTAATATTATTAAAAAATCAAAAAGTACCAGTTAATGAACCAAAAATTACCAAAAAGTGGCCTTTAATAGCTTCTTTACATGCTTCATTTATGTTTCTAGGTTTAATATTATTAAAAAAAATCAAAAAGTACCAGTTAATGAACCAAAAATTACCAAAAAGTGACCTTTAATATCATCTATACATGCTTAATTTTATGTTTCTAGGTCCAATATTATAGAAACTCAAAAAGTCATATGAAATCCAAAAAGCCCTAAGTTACAAACAAAACAAAATCGACTTTTCGCTTCTCCAGAAAAATTTGTCAAGGGCTTTTTGGATTTCATATGACGTTATAAGAAATGCTACTCACAAGTTCTTATTAATATTTTTCTTGCCCGTCCTATTCTTCCAGCGCCTATGATCTCTGGAAATAAATAAAAAATTAATAAATAATAAATTAAACCAAACATTTGCTTACCTCTCCAACAAGCACAAAATTCAGCCATGAAATAAAAATTTAACAGTGATGCCTGCTTACAAAATATTTAGTACTAAATAATGTTGTCAAATAAAATTTGTTAATGGTAGGGAATACATTTTCTTTGTAAGTCGACTTTTCGATCATGATGTTCGACTTTTTCAAAAATACAACCTTGTAAAAAGTAATGCCAAGTTATTTTTAGAATAGAATGGTTATGTACTTGCGCGAATAGACTTCATTCCACTTAAATCATTTGAAAATGGCGGTAAGTACTTTATTGCTCTTAATTTGAACGAAGATTTCTTAGAAATCTTATTTCAAATTTAGAGTTTGGAATTTAGTTTTTATATATTTCTTTTTATTTATTTCTTTTTTATTTATTTCAGTGCATCAACAAGTGCCCATATTGCAACATGGCCATTAAAGTCAATTTTAAAAAGGCCAATATTCGGCCGATACATCCGGGCTATCTGGCTGCTCCGGCCCAGCAACCGGGTCATTATCCGGGATACTCAGGCCCACCGGCCCAGCAACAGGTCTACCCAGCCCAGCAACAGGTCTACCCAGCCCAGCAACAGGTCTACCCAGCCCAGCAACAAGGCTACCCGGCCCAGCAACAGGGCTTCCCGGCCCAGCAACAGGGCTTCCCGGCCCAACAACCCGGCTATCCGGCCCAGCAACCTGGCTATCAGGCCCAGCAACCCAGCTATCCGGCCCAACAACCCGGCTATCCGGCCCAGCAACCCAGCTATCCGGCCCAGCAACCCGGCTATCCGGCCCAGCAACAGGGCTACTCAGCAGCCCAGCCGGCAGCCCCACCACCAGCACCCTGTAACAGCACCTGTAACAGCCCCAGCAACACCTGTAACAGCCCCAGCAACACCTGTAACAGCCCCAGCAACAGCCCCAGCAAACCCACCGACAGCAACATCAAAACCCAACGAAAGCTAAATACACATGTTTCGTTTTTTTTTCTTTATATATATGTTTGAATTGTTTTTATGTTGTTTTTTTAGATATGAAGTTTATAATTTGTGTTTTTTTCAATATATTTTTGTTCGTTATTTTTGAGGGTTCTAGCCATAGAGTATATAGAGCGGAAACTCTGCTGTCAAGGACCTAAGTCTGTTGTCAAAAACCTAAGTCGTCTGAATGTAGTAGTAGAACAACTTATGGTAGTATTAGTAATATTCCCCATATTTGAAATAACCCAGCAAACACAAAATCAAACGTTTGAAAAATGTTATTAATTTTATTTAATATTAAATATTAACGGTTCTTTAAAAAGAGAAATTGATTCAACGTTTACATTCGATTTAGAGTTTTAAAATTTTAAAATAGTTTGATTTACAATCTTTCTCGACTTTACATGAACCCCCTGTGTTTGCTGGGTAACGACATTTCAATTTATTATTCTGACATTTTCACCACAATTTTTTATTATTTATTTTTATAATTTTACATAACTTCGGCAAAATAAACAGATTTAGGTGACCCAAATTCAAGAGAAAACACTCGACATATTCTTACGAGTGTGTGGGTGTGGCGAGGTGGTGGCGTGTCGTCTAATAAGCTCACATTGTGGTTGTAAAAGTACCACCGTGAAATAAGGCCAACACGGCAGGTGTTCACGTAAAGCACTTCGAATTATGTATCTGTTGTCTTTCCGGCAACAGCAGTGAACTTATCCAGAAATATAGATTTCACCGTTCATCAGTCTTTTTATCAACACGATTTTGGATTTAAACCTCAGCCACCGCGTGCATCCGAAGGGACCTCTCCAATAACCGTGATGAGACAAAAATGGCAATACAGACGAGTAAGGGAACGTATATAGTCTAATCTATAGTGTAGTCTATAGTCTAGTCTATAGTTGTATAGTCTAATCTATAGTTTAGTCTATAGTCTAATCTAAAGTGTAAGTCTATAGTCTAGTCCATAGTTTAGTCTATAGTCTAGTCCATAGTCTAGTCTATAGTCTAGTCCATAGTCTAGTCTATAGTCTAATCTATAGTCTAGTCTATAATCTAGTCTATTGTCTAATCTATAGTCTAGTCTATAGTCTAGTATATAGTCTAATCTATAGTGTAGTCTATAGTCTAGGCTAGTCTATAATCTAGTCCTATAGTCTAGTATATAGTCTAATCTATAGTGTAGTCTATAGTCTAGGCTAGTCTATAATCTAGTATATAGTCTAATCTATAGTGTAGTCTATAGTCTAGTCTATAGTTGTATAGTCTAATCTATAGTTTAGTCTATAGTCTAATCTAAAGTGTAGTCTATAGTCCTAGTCCATAGTTTAGTCTATAGTCTAGTCCATAGTCTAGTCTATAGTCTAGTCCATAGTCTAGTCTATAGTCTAATCTATAGTCTAGTCTATAATCTAGTCTATTGTCCTAATCTATAGTCTAAGTCTATAGTCTAGTATATAGTCTAATCTATAGTGTAGTCTATAGTCTAGGCTAGTCTATAAATCTAGTCTATAGTCGTAGTATATAGTCTAATCTATAGTGTAGTCTATAGTCTAGTCTATAGTTGTATAGTCTAATCTATAGTTTAGTCTATAGTCTAATCTAAAGTGTAGTCTATAGTCTAGTCCATAGTTTAGTCTATAGTCTAGTCCATAGTCTAGTCTATAGTCTAGCCCATAGTCTAGTCTATAGTCTAATCTATAGTCTAGTCTATAATCTAGTCTATTGTCTAATCTATAGTCTAGTCTATAGTCTAGTATATAGTCTAATCTATAGTGTAGTCTATAGTCTAGACTATAGTCTAGTCTAAAATCTAGTCTATAGTCTAGTATATAGTCTAATCTATAGTGTATTCTATAGTCTAGGCTAGTCTATAATCTAGTCTATAGTCTAGTATATAGTCTAATCAATAGTGTAGTCTATAGTCTAGTCTATAGTTGTATAGTCTAATCTATAGTTTAGTCTATAGTCTAATCTAAAGTGTAGTCTATAGTCTAGTCCATAGTTTAGTCTATAGTCTAGTCCATGGTCTAGTCTATAGTCTAGTCCATAGTTTAGTCTATAGTCTAGTCCATGGTCTAGTCTATAGTCTAGTCCATAGTCTAGTCTATAGTCTAGTCTATAGACTAGTCTATAGTCTAGTCTATAGACTAGACTATATTCCTGCGGAAAATTAGTTAAGTACTTTAAAACCTAAAAAGTACTTTTTTTGTTATAAGTACTATTTCAAAAAAAATTTGTAGTGGTTGTAGTTTATCCTTTCCTTAATGAATTCATAGTCTAATTATTGCATAAATTTACAATTGAATTTCAGATTACTTA